CACACACACACACACACACACACACACACCGAGACCCGAGCGCTACAGTTCCTCGTACTTCCTCCCTGCCATCCAGTGGGGCTCTTTGGCCCTTTGTGATGTATAATTGAAGCTGTGTGTAACTTCACCGACTCGTTTCCACTCGGAGCTCAACTTTCACTTCTCTCATCCTTCCGGAATATTCTCTCTGAAGTGGAGAGACCAGCTCTTTGAAAACATGCTGGTTACCACCCCCCCCCCCCCCCCCCCTCCTCCTCCTCCTCCTCCTCCTCCCACCATTGCCCCCCTGATCCGACTCCATCACACATCATTCTAACTTTATCACAGATTCAGATAGAGTCAAAATCAGTTACTATTCACTTACATGCAACTATCTTTGTGTTTGGTTTCATCTTAAACTTTATTTTAATCGTCATCATATACTTTCTACATATATATGAAATTTAACTTAATTTATCCAGCACACACACGGCTAAAGGTAGAAATGTACAATGTGCAGCCAGCATGACTTCCTGTCCCTCTGTGTGACAGTAAACCTTTAGCGAGTAATAAAAGGAACCCGACCTTGAGCTCAGCAGGTTGTTCTCCGATCAGACGTGACGTCGAGCCGAACGAAACCGAGGTCGTCTGAAGGACACGAGGAGAGATTAAGGTTCCTTCCTCCTTTATGTGAGGATTTACTGCTCAAAGGTATCAGGAAGTGGATACGACAACAACAACTAAATACTGTCTGCTTTTGTGCCGACAAGAACCGGCCACACATCCTCCTGTAAGGTTCAGACCCAAAGACGAGACACGGGATTCATTTGGCTGAAAAGTAATGTCATCTGGTTTCACCAGAATCCGACCCGGTGGCTCTGATGACGAGCATTAAGAATAACTGACCATCTTCTCTCTGATGGTCTCTTTACTGATAGAGGTCTGATAGAGGATCAGGACTACACTGAGACTGGTTCAGAACCAGTTAAAAGCTCCTCACACAGGTTTGGTTTAGAGAACTAGCAGTAACGAAGTATCAACGGTGAATAACGACACAAAACCGGTTCTGCTTAACATTTTATTCATTGTCCAAATTCATATCAGTAGACTTGGAGAAACAAAAGGTATTTTTTTTATTCCTTTTTTAAACATTCTCTTAAACAAAAATATAACAACTATTTACAATCACTCGTAAAAAATACATAAAAAGCGTACGAGCAAAATCATGTTGTCTTTCTAAAAGACATAAGTTACGACAGCTATGAGAAGAAGTGAGAGAAGCAGACGTAGAGCCACAGACGGTTGATCCTCTCCGTGCACGCTGTGCAGCACACTCACCACGCTGGAGCTCACTGATGAGCATCTCTGCTGTAATGCCAGAAAACAAACAAAGTCCACACAACACATCCATTCACATCTCTCTTATTGCATTCCAGGTAGCGGGGGGGGGGAGTTCATCCTCTCCAGTTTTGGGTCGTTATATAAAAACACTGACATGTTGTGTTCACGGTGCTAAAAGAGCCGCTCGCTGCAGATCCAGAGACACATCTACTGTGTGTGTGTGTGTCTAAAACACAATAAGTTGATTGTTGTGAATATTGTCAAGCGGTGTTAAAATGAGTGCATGATTTAAAAAATACATTGTCATGTAAGACAGACTCACAATGTTGCCGTTTTTAGTTATATATTTACTTTATTTATTTATGATTTATGTTCATCCATCTTTAAGATTGCTTGATTGTTTTCCTATAAAACGATGTGAGGTGAATATTTGAAGTAAAGTGATTCCAGTAACTTTCAGTTCAGTCTGAAGAGGATCTTTTGAAGATCATCTGAGGGAAATATTAATATTATCGTGAATGACAATTATTTTGTCCAGGATACTCGTGACATGACTTTCTTTATGTGGTTCCAGACCTGGAGGCGGTGACGAGCTGCTAAATTAAATTCAGCCCTGAAAGAACAAACAAAACAAAATGAAGATATGAAGCGTTGCGTTGTGCTAACGGAGCACGAGAGAGGAATAACACAAAGGTTTAACGTGCTGCTTAATGTGTCGCTCTCAAAGCAACATCAGGAAGTAAATAAACCTGCTCACAACATCTGGGCCGTCCATGCAGAGCAGTAACACTGATTAATGGTGAACAATCGGAGGAATACAGTTGTGCAAAAAGAAGAACGGTCAGTTTTCTGACTCTCAGTCTGTGTTTCTACTGTCGAGATGGTTCAGATGAAGAGAGACGTGTGAGAGGTGAGGGTCACAGTGAGGACTCTGATCATATAGAACCCTACAGCAGCGGAGGACGTTATGAGAGGCCGACAGTCCTGCGGAGCTGACAGAGCTGAGAGGGAAGCGGCGTGTTGGTTCAATCAGACGGGGATAAAATAGCATTAAGAGAAAAACATAAAATCCTCGTGCCGTGAAACCGGCGGCAGCTTTCCTGCAGGCGGAGCAATCAACGCTGCAAACTGAGCAGGGCTCTGAGAAAGACTCCTGAGCCGCTCCTCATGCGCTGTACGCCCAGACCGACCCAGAAATGGGATTTAACACACAAAAAAAAAAGTTTCCAAACTTGCAAATATAATTCCACAACGCACGCACGCACACACACACACACGCACACACACACACACACACACACACACGCACACACACTCACACACTCCTCGTGTAGGAGCAGAAACGGCACCAACAGCAGAGCGTGAGGGTGAAAACAAGTCACGAGCAGGAAACTAACAAAACTGGATTATTTCTTATAACAAAATATTCAAAAATGTATAGAGGACTCTCTTCTCTCATCTATACACGACGCTAATTTACCCAGAAAAAAACTAAAATATATATATATATATGACATGTAATATATTAGCAGTAATCCTTTCAAGTCTTCGTGTGGCAGAACAACAGAAACAGAAGCAGGATGTCTAGACTCCAGTAACCTCCCCCCCCCCCCGCTGCAGAGTCACCATCACAACAAACGGAACTCAGAATGTACAAATCTGCTTTCAATACAAATAGACAATTTCTTTCAAGCAAATCCTTTAAATATTCTACAAAATGTACTATGAACATGGAATGGAGACGCAGGCGTTAGAATACGTTTACCCGACGACTCGTTTTGTTGCTCGTTATTTTAAATAAGAAGCAACAAACAAGCCGATGCTCGAGGGCCCCTGGGGGCCCAGAGTCAACGTTTATGCTGCATCTCATATTCCTGCTGCTTTATGAACAAATGTACAAGTTCAAACGAACCTAAAGCGTTCTACTGTTTAACATTTCAGCTCGTAATTCAAAACACACAACTAGTAAAATAAACACTGTAAACAAGCTGTGTAAACACTGTCCTCTGTCTTTATGCACATGATCCTGCTGTGTGTGTGTGTGTGTGTGTGTGCGACCACACAGTGCTAATTTATCGTTTTATTACAGCTGCTGCGATAGAACGACGACTTTACTTGTTTTTACTCTACGGGAAGCAGCGAGGCATTCTGTTCTTCAGCTCATTAAAGACGAGTAATAACAGAGTTTTATGGAACATCCAGGAGGCAGCATGCCGCTGAGGCCTCTGACCCAACGAGCAGTGAGGGCGAGGCGGAGACGTGAAGCCTGAGAGAGGACGTTTGTTGTCTGTTAGACTAAAAGGACAGGAAGTAAACACAAACAGCTCTCTGCTGAGTCAGCAGTTCTCCTCTTTCAGGAGCGAGAAACATTTCTATTTGGTTTGTTTGTGTGGGAGCTGATGGTGTTTATGTAAATATACATCATCAGTGCCAGAGGTTGATAGCGGCCCATAAAGACCCCAAAAAATTATCTAAAAATTCGTTTTTTTCTCGTCTCTTACGCGTCTACATTCATGTTATTTTGAGCCAAAACAAACTAAAACAAGACAAAAACGAGCTGATATTCGTCGCTTTCTATCCCTTTTGTCTCCTCCTCCTCCTCCTCCTCCTCTTCCTCACATAAAAATTTTGCAAAACCTCAGAAATGAAAATAATAAAAAGAATCACTGTACAACATCGTGAAACTGTAAAAACAATGTGAAACACCTCGAAGAAAGCCAGCTGAGAGCACAAAATGGAGGTACATGGTGGTCTGTTTGCAAGGAGCCGACTTCTTCTTCTTTTGTCAAAACTATTTCCTTCCTTTAGATTCCCTTTGTTGTTGTTGTTGTTGTTGACGTCCGTCGACCGTTTTTCGGCTTCATTCAAGAGGTTTATTAAAAAGTTTCTTTTCTTCTTTTGTTTTGTGAAACGGGTTTTAAAAAGAGATGATTGTAAAAGTCTGGAGATGAGAGGAGAGGTCACATGACCCGTCGAGAGGTGCATTGTGGTCCGCGGTGACATCACACAGGGCTGTGTGTGTGTGTGTGTGTGTGTGTGTGTGTGTGTGTGTGTGTGTGTGTGTGTGTGTGAGAGAGATCTCCGTCTTTACACCGCTGACACTTGCTCATCTGTAAAAGAGAAGAGAAGACGATGTTTGGCAGGTTGTTTGACAAATTACAAAGATGTGACAGTAAATATACATGAAACAGAAGTTATGATTCAAATATGGTTTAGTTGATAAATTAATTAATAGATAACAAATAAAGTAAAAAATAAAAAGGTAAATTAAGGGTCATTTAATACATCTCTCAGGGTTTCTGAAGGGTTCACAAAGTCCCTTGAAGACCTCTTTGAATGCAATTTAATATCTGATTCACGATCATTCAAGTATGAAAGCATGATGGGATATAGTAATATAGTTATCAGGGGTTAGTTGTAACACTTCTGGTTACATCAAACATTCAGAGCGGTGGCGTACCGTCCTCGCTCTCGGCCAGCTCCTGCGTTGGGAGGCAGATGCTGGGCGGTCTGGAGTGCGTGGACCCGGCTGTCCGGGCCTCCTGGTGGGGGTGGTGGAGGTGATGGTTACCGGCCAGCCTCCGAGCCTCGGCCAGACCGCCGGCCGCTCCGGGGCTCTGCAGGAGCTTGCTCCTCTGCAGGGCCACGCTGTAGTCCGGAGGTCTGAGGTGAGGAGGCCTGGGGAGGGGGACTACTCCGTCTGTGAGGCCCAGATCCCCCAGAGCCAGACCCTGGTAGCCTGGAGGGGTGGGAGGGGGAGCTCGGTAACGCTCATCCTTGGCGGGGGATGTGACACAATACACTGGATGGAGGTGCAGATCAAAAGAAAGGCGGGATGGAGCAAAGGAGGGGGTGAAGGGGTGAAGGGAGGGAGGCGAGGAAGTCGCAAAAGAAAGGTTGAAAAGGAGGAGTGGGGGGAGTCATGTGGAACAAAAAGAAAAATAACGGGGAAAATTAAATCAAAGTGATGTTTCTCCAACGCAATACACAACTACGCATGCTCCACAATGTGTTGGAAACCAAAAGAAGAACAAAGAACTGATGAGATGGATGCTGCAGCGGGACACACTCTACTGATCACTTTCATCACTCAACAACCAATACCTCACCAGATTAATCCACCGTTAGTGTTGAATCACTGGCTTTGCCTGAACCAACAGAGGAGCTACAAGACGTTCAGAGAACTACTGATCGATTATCAACATCTCAGTCTATGTGACGATAGATTCACTGACTAACTGAGGACACAACGTTGTCTTAACTCCTCCACTACTACCCTGAAGTTATAACAATATTCTGTTGTCCTCGTAAAACTATCAGCAGCAGATTTAATTTACTGTTCATACGTCTGACGTGAAACATGGACGGCCGCTCTTTAGCCTCACGAAACAAGAAGACGGTAACCATCTACTCCTCCAGTTGACCCCGGCTCACGCCGTGTTTACAGGGAATCAAACTCGCAACCTGCCCCCTCACCTATGAGGCCTTTCTCTGTGCTCGACGTCACCGTTTTGTAGACGGGGTCTGTGCTCTGCCCTCCTTCCTCCTCGGTGGGCGAGGAGGGGTGCTCCGAGGTGTTTCTCCGCTTTATCGTCCCGTAATTCCCCTCGTAGGTGTCCGACAGCGAGCCGGACGACGCCCAGCTCTGCCTCGACTGATTGGACAGGTCCGAGCCGGAGCCCCTGGAGTGGTGCCTGGAGGAGGCGGCGGCGGCGGCGGCGGCCTCGACCTCCGCTATCGGAGGCTGCGCGTGCTTGAAGCCGCCCAGGTGCGTGTGCGGCAGGGAGAGCGGGTGCCCGTGGATGCCGTGGTCCCAGGGCCGGCAGGAGGAGGCGGGGAGGCTCTGGAAGGAGTCGTGGGAGTTGGAGGAGCAGGACGTCCAGCTGCCGCGGCCGCTGTCGGCCACGGAGTCCAGGGAGGCGTGGTCTGGGGTCAGCTCCTCTGTGGAGATGGAGGAGGTGAAGGTGGAGCCGCGCGAGACGAACCCTCGAGCCAACGACGAGGAGCTGCTGCAGACGATGGAGACAGAGAGGGAAGACGTGTTTAGTGTGAAAGTACTTCAAAAGTAAAGGTAAAGAGAGAGAAGAGTTTCAATAAGTATGAAAAGCAATTATTCATTATTTATTTTGTAATACACGTTTTCTGCAAACGTTAAGTTTAAATATGCAAATGAGGCCTTATCTTATGAAATATGTGCACATTTTCCAGGACAAATATCTGAACGTTGGATAAACGTGTATTTTGGATGTTTTCTTTCCTCTAGTCTAGTGTCTGGTGTTATGGAAGCAAAATATCCCAAAATCTCATCAGTGCATGAAAAGCTCACACCTGGTCTGCACACACACTCTTCACTAAACCACAGAGCAGATATGTGACGGCGTTTCCTGAGTGATGGATCACTGTCCGGCTCTTAAAGGAAGTTCTCCTCCTCAGGTCGCCGTTCATAAACCAGCTGTTTGATTCACTGACACGGTTCCACCGGAAAACAAGCCTCTCAATGAAACTCAGCCGTATGTCATAACCCGGGCCGGCTGAGCTTCATATAATATCAGAGAGGCAGACGGGTCGCTGCATCCGGGAGATATTTTTTATAGTCTCCTCTTTAAGAGACAGAGCGGCCTGATCATGGAGGAACAATAAACAAACGGCAGACAGTAAAAAGGGAAAGAGGTGTGCTGTTTACTCGGCCAGATTAAAAAAGCCTGCGTGGAAACCGATAAGTTGTTAACGGAGAAGAAGGAGGAGCGAGGAGGGCAGTAGATGTGTTTTATGACTTCCTGTTCTCTGGGTTTTAATGAGGGACGCACGTAATTGGGATCCAGCTGGAAGAGCGGTGCAGGCCGTGTGTGTGTGTGTGTGTGTGTGTGTGTGTGTGTGGGCCTGTTTTTTGCTCAAGAGGCTCGGAAAAGATTTTCTATTTCTTTCGTGCAATTATTTGGGCCATGTGGCCTAAAGCCTCATTATATGTCCTCACACTAGTTTGGCACCATTCGGACTAGATTTACTTCTCTATTAAAATCTGAACACCCGGAGTGTGCGTCTCTAATAAACACAGCCCCAACTAGACCACTCGCAGGTCCTCTAAGTCCAGATGGACGCTTTGCATGTTTACCTGAGGACCTCTGGTGACTCGTAGTAATCACAACGGTCACCTGTGATCTTAATCCTGTGGAGGATCTGCTGTGTCCGTCGTGTATTATTAGGGTCGTGTATAATTATTATTTTCTGTTGTGCGAGGTGTTTTGTTCTCTCTGCATGTTTGTTTTCGGCCTCTTTCCTGGTCGAGGATTAAAGAATAACTACAAATGAAAGTTTTGACGCAAGAGGTCTTTTTTAGTATTACATAAACATAGATGGGCATATATAATATCATATGTATAACATGAAATATATCATATGAAGAAGTGGAGAGTCATTTTCTCATAGACGTCTACACAACCAGAGGAGTCGCCCCCTGCTGGACAGTAGAGAGAATGCAGCTTTAAGGCACTTCAGGATCGGCTTCACTCAGCAGAACCGGAGGCTGCCGCCTGTATCTACATGAGGTCCTCTTCACAGACTGACATGAGTTAGTGAACCTGAGATGAAGTGAATTACCTTGTGCTGGGCTGGTTGTCAGAATGTAAGTGTGCATGCGTTGCTGCCGTGCTCTCGGCAGCTGGTGCAGGAGTCGTGTAGGTAGTCGTTGCAGCAGCACAGATCCTGCTGCTGTTACAGCGCTCGTCAGAGCCGGGAGCCGGCACCGAGTCCACCGAACAGATGCTGGAGCGGGACGAGATCTCGCTGTGACTCGAGTCCGACAGGTTGTCTGCTTTGCCGAGCGGGAGGAGAGCGTAACCTGGACAGAGGAGAGAGGATGTGAAACGCAGGTTATAAGGACGGAAAGGGGACGTGATGCAAAGACAGAAAGAGAGAAAACGATAAAGAGTGTGTTGAGCCTTTTTACCTAAAGCACCTTCCAGCAGAATGAATAGAGATGACTTTATTTAACCCAAAGGGTCATTTCCTTTAAGGGAGTGTTGGACAATCAAGTGGGGAGACGATGTGACGTTTCTGTTTTAATAGCAAATACTTAATAACACTGCGTCACGTACAGTACTTACTGTCCATCAACGCTCACAGCGGAGATGAGTTCACACCACGTCTACAGCGTGATTATGTAGAAACGAGTCACAGTTTATATTACAAATATCCTCAGAAACAAATCAACTGTGACTGCAGGGAAACTAACCAACATGCTGATCAAATACTGCATCCAACAAAAGTAGATGAAAAATTAATATTTAATAAAATAATAATAATTTCAAAATTCAGTCTTAGAGTATTACTATAAAATGAATGTCCCTTTGTGGTTAGAAGGTGAAGGTGAATACTTAGCTACTGTCTGTTTGGTGAAGATTAACAAAGACACGTTGGGAGAACTCAGAACAAACAAACGGTAAAATAAATGTCTTGTTTCTTATCTGCTGTGAATGTTTGCTGGTGGAAACCTCTCCCTCACGTCACTTGTCAGTGATTTACGGTGGACGTGAGACTCTTTTATTCCTCAAGTCACGCTTGGCATCTCTCTAACAGGCTATCCTCTCAACAACTCACAGCGACTCCCTCTGAAATACGATAAGCTTGATTTTGTTTTCGCTGCCGGCGTTTTGACTCGACACATCGATCCTGTCAGACGGTCTCTCTGCTGCTGCTTCTGTCCCTGCAGAGCCAGAGGAAGGGGTTCGGGCTGACCGACCTCTTGGCTCTCTGCTCTGCTTGTCTCTGTCTCTCATCCAGAGGCGGGGAGGAGGACGCAGCCTCTCCTGCTCCCTCCTCTCCGCTCAGATTCCTTCCGACGGCCACCTGTCTCTCCCTGGACTGACTCCTCTCCCTCAGCGCCCTGAACGGGGACATCAGCCTCGTCCTGATGGCGGACTCTGGGGGTCTGGGTCTTCCTGCTCTTACATTTCTCACATCTGTCTGAGCACCCTGGTTGTTCTGCCGCCTGCGTCTCCCTCTGCTTTGCTCTGACGGAAACAAGCCTCTCTCAACTGCCTCCGTCTCCTCCTCTTTCTCTTCCTCCTTTGCCCCTTCACTACTTTTCTCCTCCTCCTCCTCCTCTGTCTGACTCTTCCTCTCCCTGCTGCTCTCTCGGCTGTGCTGCCTGGTCATCAGCAGGATCCTCTTGTGGAGGCGAGCCCCACCTATGCCGTAGCTCCGCAGGCTGACGGTGCCGGCCTTCGTGCTGGCGTCGCTGGTCAGAGACGAAGAAGATCCCGACAGGTTCATCTGGCTGCAGTTCTGGGACTTGACCACGCCTCCCACTGAAGAAAGAGGGAGGGACACCGAGGTGAGAGGTGAACGTGAGCTTTTTATTCCACTTAATAATAAGGAATAGAATAAAATAAGGAAAAGTAATCCCACAGTATTCATCAACATTAATTATTGAGTTATTCTCAGACGGATGGAGCTAGTTGATGTTTGTAGGCGAGCATCGTTTTGGGCTGTCCAGGGCAGCGGAGACAGACTTATTTTAATCTTATTTCATGTGTTTGCATATGCAACAATAATATCTATTTATTCACAGGCCTACATTTGGCCTATTTATTGGCATCTTTATCATTTATTTGCTGTTATTTTTGCACATTCTGTAGCCGCTTCCGTTTCAACGATCGCAAGTTTGAGGAAAGTCTGACAGCTTGTTTTGACTTCCCACTCCAACCGCTGTATTATTAATGCACAGGAGAACCAGGAGTCTGACCCAAATGCCTCAACGGGAGACAACAAGCTGCTCAGAGAGGTTTCTATCAGCTGTTTATCTGGGATCTGTTTCTCTCCCTGACTGAGAGAAGAGAGGCGACTAATGCTCGTAAAGAAAAGGAGGTTCTCTCTCTCTCTCTCTTTAAATATCATTGACTAATTCTCTATTAACAGTATCTGGTACCGCCCTTCAGAGTAACTCCCTGAGTAACATTTGTGTTTCTTTCATTCTACTCCACCTCCTGCAGGGTAACCTGGTTCCTTCTACCCTCGGATAACAAACCAACAGGGTGGGTACCTCCCGTCACTGACCTTTGCGCGGGGAGCCCTGAGGCGACACCGTGGGGCTGGAGTGAAGGGAGGAGATCATGGACACGCTGTCGTCAGACGGCCTCTTGGAGCTCCACTCCTCCAACGAGATCACGGGAGGTTTCTTCACCACCTGGGGAGAGTTGGAGGCTGGGGAAGAGAAAAGTCAGTCAACCTGGGAGCCCTGGAGGAGACATGTTTTGCTTCACCCCTGAATCAATGAAACATATTCTACAAGTAGAAGGAACAAAAAGATCAAAATTCTAAATTAAATAAATCCCCATGAAGTGGGTCTGATGATGGTGGTGGTGATGATGATGGTGGTGGTGTGCAGGAGTACTAACTAGGAGGGCCGATGTCCTTGGCTGTGCTCTTCTTTCGTAGAGGCATCAGAGGGACCTGGACCTGAAGGACTTGAGAGACCCTGTTCTGCGTTCTCCCCGAGGGCAGAGCCGAGCGCAGAGACACCGGAGACATGTCCGACTTGGTGGATCGTCTCTCACTCAGGTTCTTAGATACTGCGACCGCAGGAGGAAGAAACAGAAACAAGATCAACGACACAGAACCACGTCAATCCTTCTGTGTTGTATTACAATGTCCCATTGTTCATACATTTGAAGACCTAAACAGAAACAGTAAAATAGATCCGTCTAGCAGTGATGGAACGCAAGACGTTTAGATGATGTATACAATTAATTCATTCATTTTCTTCTGCAGTACACTTGCAAACACACCAGGTGGCAGTGTATGCCAATTATACAAGTGTGTACAGCTTTTCCAGCATTACATTTCCTTCACTTAAACCCTGAACACACTTTGAGTTGCACCAAAACACAAAAAAATGCTTTTGAACGATGTGTTTTTATGTAGTTTTCACTGATGTGTGTGCACCAGGCCAGGTGGAGGTTAAACGGTCCATATACATGTACAATTGAGGTTCTGATGAACTCACAGGTGCTGTACGCCGGCTCACACTGCAGCGACATGATCTGGTGCTTCTCCTCGTCGATCTCCACCGTCATGTTGGACAGGTACTGCTTCACCTTCCGGGCCATCTGGGCGTCTTCGTACAGCTTCTTGGCGTTGAGCAGCGAGCTGCGGCGCACTCGCTTCTTGTGGGCGCCGCCCTGCACGTCCAGCATGTTGGAGTTGGTGCTGCCCTGACTCAGAGACCTAACGAGGGGGGAGGAGAAGAGGGAGGACGATGAGGAGACGAGAGGACGAGGGGAGAGTAAAGTGTTGATGGATGAGCAGATGGAAGATAAAGAAAGAGGAAGAGAAGAGATGAATGCAGAAGGTAACAGAGTAAACAACAATAAATACAAATAAAACAGGCACTTTCTTATCAAACACCTCCTCTACTGTAAAATCTGTCTTTGTGTTGCGAGCAGAGCGTTTTAAAAACCATGCAGCTCTCGCTGGCGTGCCATGCTATCACAGTACAGAGCAGCAGCAACATTCTGTCAGATGGAGGCAAAAAAAGGGTTAGGAAACAAAAAGATGCACAAGATTGGATATGGGGAATATTATGCCGGGATGCAGATATATGAACGGAGTCAAATAGTATCTGTAAATAGTTCTCATGGTTTGTTGTAGGCTAGTTTTAGGAAACATCTCAGCGAGTCCCATCGGTGTTGTTCAGATTCAGATCAACTTTATTAGTCCAGGACATGAGGACAGACACAATAAGTCCACAATATACTCAGAATAAATCACATGTTTGTGGTAGGCTATTTGTCCCGCCTCTCCTCTACTGTGATTGGTCGGCTGGGTAAGTGACGAGGGCAGCGTTTCACCCAAATTGAAAACATTTTTTAACTCTCAGCACCATAAAAAAAAGGCCAAATGTGCAGCGCCTCGTAGAGCTGCTAGCGTTTGTAGCAGAGCTTAAAAACTCTTCTGGAACTAAACCATCTTTGTTGATGGTTGAGTCTGTGACTCGTTGTCTTACGTTCTCTGCAACTGTGCACACTTGTAACTCGACGAATAACAAAATCGTGAGAAATCGTAAATGTGAGATAATCTTCATCACTTCCCACCCACATCATCAGTAAGTGAATGTGTCTAGAACCTCTCTGGGTATTATTTCAAGCTACTATATGACTCAAACACACTGATGAACAGGGAGAACAATGAACGGGTCAATGGTGGACTTCGGTTTGGGTTCAGGTGAATGGGCACTGCAAATGGAAGGGTTATTCACACACAAGCACAGGCGGGCACAAAGTAAAAATGGGGGGGGGGGGGGGGGGG